GGTAATTTGGTGTTAAATATTATTATTTAGGTCTCGCATTATACAATTTGAATCAATATGAAGAAGCTATTGAATGTTACAATGAAGCATTATCTATTAACCCTAAATATGTTTATGCATGGTATAACAAGGGTAATTTGGTGTTAAATATTATTATTTAGGTCTCGCATTATACAATTTGAATCAATATGAAGAAGCTATTGAATGTTACAATGAAGCATTATCTATTAACCCTAAATATGTTTATGCATGGTATAACAAGGGTAATTTGGTGTTAAATATTATTATTTAGGTCTCGCATTATACAATTTGAATCAATATGAAGAAGCTATTGAATGTTACAATGAAGCATTATCTATTAACCCTAAATATGTTTATGCATGGTATAACAAGGGTAATTTGGTGTTAAATATTATTATTTAGGTCTCGCATTATACAATTTGAATCAATATGAAGAAGCTATTGAATGTTACAATGAAGCATTATCTATTAACCCTAAATATGTTTATGCATGGTATAACAAGGGTAATTTGGTGTTAAATATTATTATTTAGGTCTCGCATTATACAATTTGAATCAATATGAAGAAGCTATTGAATGTTACAATGAAGCATTATCTATTAACCCTAAATATGTTTATGCATGGTATAACAAGGGTAATTTGGTGTTAAATATTATTATTTAGGTCTCGCATTATACAATTTGAATCAATATGAAGAAGCTATTGAATGTTACAATGAAGCATTATCTATTAACCCTAAATATGTTTATGCATGGTATAACAAGGGTAATTTGGTGTTAAATATTATTATTTAGGTCTCGCATTATACAATTTGAATCAATATGAAGAAGCTATTGAATGTTACAATGAAGCATTATCTATTAACCCTAAATATGTTTATGCATGGTATAACAAGGGTAATTTGGTGTTAAATATTATTATTTAGGTCTCGCATTATACAATTTGAATCAATATGAAGAAGCTATTTAATGTTACAATGAAGCTATATATATTAACCCTAAAGATGTTGATGCATCGTATAACAAGGGTAAATTTGGTGTTAAGTATTATTATTTAGGTAACGCATTATACAATTTGAATCAATAGGAAGAAGCTATTGAATGTTACAATGAAGCATTATCTATTAACCCTAAATATGATTATGCATGGTGCGGCAAAGGTAATTAATAATTAAATATTCATATTTAGGTGATGCATTACAAAAATTGAATCGATATCAAGAAGCTATTGAATGTTACAATGAAGCATTATCTATTAACCCTAAATATGTTGATGCATGGTGCGGCAAAGGTAATTAATAATTAAATATTTATATTTAGGTAACACATTATTCAATTTGAATCAATATGAAGAAGCAATTGAATGTTATAATGAAGCAATATCTATTAACCCTAAAGATGTTGATGCATGGTATAACAAGGGTAATCTATTAATAAATATTATTATATAGGTAACACATTACAAAAATTAAATCAATATCAAGAAGCTATTGAATGTTACAATGAAGCAATATCTATTAACCCTAAAGATGTTGATGCATGGTGCGGCAAAGGTAATTAATAATTAAATATTTATATTTAGGTGCTGCATTACAAAAATTGAATCAATATGAAGAAGCAATTGAATGTTATAATGAAGCAATATCTATTAACCCTAAATTTGATTTGGCTTTTGAAAATAAGGGTAATGATATTTATTATTCAGGTTTAATCCTACAAAAATTATAGAAACACTTGGATGCACTCTCAAATTTTGAACAAGCACTTAAAATAAATCCTACTGCTCATAGATAAGAATATAAAGGTAAATACTACTTTAAATTCTATTAGCTGATTCATTATTTGAATTACGTAGAAGTTCAGAAGCTAAATACTTTTACTTTGCTGCATAGGAAATGGGTTTGGGTTAGAATGCTTCTATAAAAAGCTAACTATCAAAGTTATGAAACATTATCATATTTGTATTTTAAAGGATTTTATAATATTTTGTTAGTATATATTTAAAAAAAAGTGATTTATTTAAATTAATCACTTTTAGCGTTGTTACTCTATAACTTAAAGCATATAAACTGATTGGCCCCTAACAAGGAGTGCAATTAAGAATTCTTGCAGCTGTTATGAAAGCCAAATTTTATAATACCTGATTAACATTTAAGTTTTGAATGTAGTTGAAACAAATACTAAAAATGTGGGTAGAAACAAATAAAGAGAATCTCAGCTAGTAGAAGAATTTTCGTTATTTGAGAGTCATTCCATATAAACAGAGAATTTTAGAGAGTTTTGAATTGCTTTATAGTGTGGAAAATTTTCGAATAAGTATTATGTAAATAAAGTCCAGTTGGGATTCCACAAAAGAATTTGATGAACTAAGAAATTCTAAACAAAAAAAGAAAAAAACCTTACTTAATTCTGATTCCTTAATTCTGATTACTTAATTCGAATCTTACACTTCCACAGAAGGTAAAATTCATTATAACCATCAATGTTCAGACATTCAACAATCTTAAATTTTTATTCAAACAAAGTTGATAGCAAATCAAATGTTTCATTTAAGAATTGATTAATAAGAAAAATTAAAGCAGAAAATGGAATATAATTGAAAAAGGGAAGTTTATAATTCGAATATTTGAACTTCTTAGACAAAAGTAAAACAAATAAATTTAAAAATACTCAAATTAATGTTATTAAAGTTCTTATGTTTATATTGGAAGTGGATTAAAAATTGAATCTTTATTATCAAAGAAAAGAAGGAAAAAGATTATTCTGTATTCCAAGTACCTTAACTAAAAATCTTTAGTGTTGTTGAATGAAAACAACAGAATTTGTTATAATAAGAAATACTTCATTATTTATGATTGAACCTATAAATCATAACAGCTTGCATGGCATTTTTAAAAAATAAAAAATAGAATTATTTAATTGAGGAACAAATCTTATTATGATGAGGGTAAAATCCTAAGATTACTCAAAATTTACCCCTTTTAATTTAATATGAAATTAATTAATTATCTACAATAACATTTTGAAATAATTAGAGGGTCAACGTTAAAATATTTAATGATCTCATTCTCAAATCAATAGTAGATATCAAACTTATGAGACAAAAAC